TGAACGTTACTATTACTAAGTAAATCATGACCAAATACAACCAAAAACAAACGTTCAGTCTTGCTTGTGAAAGGTAATTCCTCGAAAGCTGTTTTCAATTGTGTGGCGATTTGTACAGCCCCAAACAGCGCACAAATCATGCATTTTTCTCAATGGGCTTTATGCACAGCTGCACTACTTCCTGAACTTTAGCCAGCTCCTTTGTTTCCTGTCTGCCATTATTGGACAAACTGATTAATCCAGGTGTGCCTGGCCTCAGTAACAATAACCAGGCACACCTGGATTAATCAGTTTGTCCAATAATGGCAGACAGGAAATAAAGGAGCTGGCTAAAGTTCAGGAAGTAGTGTAGCTGTGCATAAAGCCAATTCCCGGTATTAGAGGTATGGGAAAGTTGCCATCCCCAACATGGCGGCGCCGTTGACGTACGCTCCAGCGGCCAATAGGGCGTCTATGTATTTATTATGTCTATGGTTAAAGCTGCCTCCGGGGAGCGCCATTGTAGCTGGCTATCACCTGCTGTTAGCATCCCATTGACTCCCATTCATTTTGGCGTCACTTTGACAGCGAATAACTTTACATCTGAGGCGTCCAGAGACTCCATTTGTCCATTATTTATTTCTAAAGAAACACGACAATGTATAAAAGGCTCCCATTACTTTGTATCTTACGTTATGGCCCCGTAGAAGCCATTCTTGTAAAAATAGGCTAACGATTGCGTCATAACCACGGGACGCTCTGTCGCACAGTAGAGAAATTACCGTATAGACAGAAGTAGAAGCTCGTTGGCAATCGTTTACTATGAGGCAATCGGGTGGACATGGAGGCATAAAGTCAAGGGAGAAGCCCATAGATCAGTGGTCTCAAACTCGCGGGCCATTTGCGGCCCGCGGGGTGATATTTTGTGGCCCCCTACTTGACATTAAAGTTTAATGTTAGTGCGGCCCGTCGTTGCGTGTGCCGCGTTTTAAAAATATATTTTTTTTTTTAATCCCTTTTGGGCTACCATAGATAGTCTCATGACAGCTTACGGTGGGTTTGTTGTCAATAGTTGTCATAGACAACCGCGAAGTACAAACTTACTGCGACTGGAAAAAATTCCCGCGCGCCTACATTTGAAATAACGAACTTGAGCAAGCAAAATATGTGAGCGCGATATGTGAACATGCCACGAGCTACTGGTAGCTCGCGAGCGACGTGTTGGAGACCCCTGCTCTAAAACAATGTGAGAATAATAATTTTGAGCTTGTAATATGTGTTCAGCAGGTTGATAAGAAGGTTTGCTTTGATTTGTGCAAAGTCAGTAATTTGCCTGAGACACTATACATGTGTAGAAATAATTAAATAAGGCTGAATTCACATTTAGCGCCCAAAAACGCGTAGAAAACGCTAGGCGCGCCGCGTTCTCCTTTTTCCAAAGCGCTAGGGCGGTTGCGCTCCGTAGGCGTCTGTCGTTGCTAAGCTACGGTGAGCTTGCGGCATTCTGAAAAGTTGAGATGTTTGTATCTCGATGCGGCGCGCACGCGCTTGGAAAAAAAGAGTGCGTCGCACCACGACCGCGTCGCTTCCATTATGAGCGCGCATTCCGCGCACCTACATTTGAAATAACGAACTTGAGCGTGCAAAAGACGCGATATGTGAACCGGCCCTAAGACGGGCAGACATGACTGCAAATATTTGTATTTCAAAAGCAATAATCGTTTTTCTAAGTATAATAAAAGGAAATGTGCCTTCCAAAAAAACATCCAATATCATTAATGTGTTGTATAAAGAAAATAAAAAGGACATAAGCAAATATAAGTATCACAAATATGTGTTATAAGGAAAAGAAAAAGAATGTTTGTAAAATGAAGTATCACAAAGATTTCGGGAAAATGAACTTCAACTGTCAGAAGGACAGCTCATGAAGATTGGATCAGTTGTGCTCCTTTTTTGGAATACTTGAATAGGCCTACTATTTTTTGTGGAATACTTGATGCGGCCCAGCCTGACCCAGACTCTACCTCCAGCGGCCCCCAGTTAAGTTGAGTTTGAGACCCCTGAGTTCATAAAAGCAACGGGACAAAATATTTCAACAACAGATTTGTTTCAGATTTCAATTCAGATTTGTCCCGGCACAGCTACTAGAAGGCCAGAACGGTTGCTCACGTGACAACTACGTCGTCAAGCTCAGTTTGAGCCTGCGCAGAACGCTTGGCTATCAGGAAGTGAGTGCCCATGTTGGGCTTCAACTCTCTCCGTTGAAATCAACGGGGTCGCTGTGTCCATTTCTTTTACTGTCTATGGTATGCTGTCTGTGAGTGAATGATTTCACAGGACGATAGGTCCTTACCATAAAGTGATGACGATCTTGCTAGACTAGACGTGCAAAAGACGCCAGTGGACGTCTTCTTCACAACCTCTTAAAAACTTCATGGGCAACTACATTAATTATTGCAGTATTAACCATGCGAGGATTAAGCGCAGCTTTTGCATATTTAACAAGGATTTCATAGAGGGTCATGATGGACTATAAATGCACGTGTAAAAGACGTCGCCAGGTGACGTCCTCTCACCCGATACACTAAACATAACTACACGAGCTAAAAGTTAAAATAACAATTATACATGCAACTGTAGACATGTACAAATGTATCTGAATGCATTTTTAGGAAATGTTCTGTGTTAAATTTTTTACCGATTTATGACGTCCTGGCCGCAACTATTTTTGGCCAGGGACACGACGTTGCCGTTGGACCAATGTTTGCTGGGTACGTACAGAATGTGCGCGTTAAGAAACACGTTCAAATTGGTCGTCTCCACACGGTAAAACTGTGCGTCTTAGGGTTAGGGTTAGGGTTAGGGTTAGGGTTAGGGTAAAGTAACACGACGAAAACTGACGCCTTAACACGACCAGAATGAGCGTGTCTACGCGTTCAAAAGGAACACGTACAAAATTGCCGCGTATTAATCGGATAATTTTTTTTGGTGTGTTTTTAAACAACCAAAACAAAAAATGCATAACGAAAATGATGTGGCTGTAAAATGATCAAGCATTTGGCTTTTATTTCAAAAAAAAAAAAAAAACAGTTATTTATTCCAACTCCAACATTTGGCTCCAAAACTAAGCCTATTTTATTGCAATGTTTTACCCATTTAGTGTATATAAGTGCCAGTGCCAACAATTATATAACAATACAGTTAAGTCAACTTACTGTAAAACATGTAAAACTATGATTCTATGAATACAAAGTTTAGTTTTGTCTTCTTAATACAACATTACAAAAAAGGATTGCACCTTCTGGTGTAAGACACAGAGAACCTTCTCAGACAATGTGGTGTCTCAACTTCATTAACATACAGAACACAGCTGTTACAACAAGAGCAACTTCATTTACATTAAGAGTGCTCAACTGTAACAGGATAAAGGGTTTAAGATTGGGATGTTCTGGGTTCATTCTGACGCCGGTGAACCCAAGGCGTACCCGACCCGGTGTAGGCCTACTTTGCCACCATTTTTGAGATCTTCGACGTCCACATCATTTTTTCTTTCATCCCCAACCAAATTTCATCCAACCGGTCAGTATTATCCAATCATAAATGCGTTATTTAGAAGTATTTCAGTGCATGAAGTTAATTACACAAAGACAGATTTTAGGGCTACCTGTAGGCTAAGGGGCCGGGCCATGAGCTAATGATATTTTCTTCCAACCCTCATTAAATCCCACGTTTGTCTGATCACTTGAACCATATAAAGAACATTGTCTCTGAAAGATAGGTCTGTCTAGGACTGAGGAGTGCCCCGAGCCCGAAGCTGAGAGAGCAGTTCCCGAGCCCGCAGATGTGGCCCGCAGCACAAGCAACGTGCTTGATACACATAATTGAACAAATTTAACAAGTGGCCCAGTATAAAAACAATAGAAGTCAATAGAAAGTTCTGACTGTGTGTGTGTTTAATATGCCTAGGCTAAACTTATTAAACACAAAGCCTACACAAACAAATCAATTGAATATAGGCTACTAAAACTTGTTTTTAAATCCTTTTCAATAAATAAAAATACAGTAGCTAAATAAATAATATATTATTACTCCTATTGTTGTTAATGCACAGAAATCGATAATTAGGCATATAACATATAATCCTATTACAAGATCCATCATAATCATTTAGTAGCTGGCAGAACATTTTAGATAGTTAAATAGCGACCTCTGCTGGGCGTTTGCCAGAACAGACAATTATATTATTTATAATGTAAATTAGGCTTTGTACTTTAATACTCAGCTCACGCTGAACGCCACGGATTGTACGGACTAGTTCAATTTAGCAGTTTAACTTTTTTATATGGTTTACTGCACGCTATATTTTATTTTGATAATGAACAAAGTAAAGTTTGCAATGCAAGAAAATAGTGTGTGCGTGAGGGGCCAGCTCGAGTGTGTCGAGTGTCGACCAGAGGGGCACGGCACAGGCATAGATATGGGCACAGGGACCTAAGTTTCTTCTTCTTCTCCTACCCAGTATAGCAGGCAACTGCACGGTGTATTATTTATTTGTTTATTTTAAACTAATATTTTGTATTTTATTAATTTATTTATACTACAATTGTATTTTAATATTTTTTTTTTATTAAATATTTTAATTTATCTATTTTAATAATATTATTATGTAGGTCTCTTTTTTTTTTTTTTTTTTTACATTTTGTTTACACTGTTTTTCTCTAAACATTTCCACGGACTTCCTTGTGCCCCCTGGGGGTCCCCGGTGCCCAGTTTGAAAACCTGCTCTAAAAGACCATGCAAATTCATTATTACATTTTTGGTAGCATTTAGGCCTATACTTGGAAGCATTGATTTATACTTGGCAGAATAACATTCATACACATTAGTCTCGACTCAAATCGCATGGGAATCGGCCTGCCCTTCTTTTAACCCATCCCATGATCTCTATATTCTTCGCATCGAAGGTTCCGGCGCGCGAGCTCGAGAAGGTTCTGGAGCGCCACCGTTTATATAAGAGCGACAGCGCGCGCTGCGTTCACACAGCAGAACAACAGTCACAGATAGAGACACGAACCCGGCGACACAGCGAACCGGCTTTTCCTCTTCTTTTATTTGTGTAAGTATTATAAAACGTATAACATTCACAAGTAGGCTGCAAGCGCGAGGCTTTAGTTGAAGTGTTCTCTAGACTAATTCGCGAATTTATGGGACAGTTTTGAGGAATGTTGTGTGACACGTTAGCTTTCTCTCAAGAACTAACAGTGATAGCCTAGGTGACCACTCAATGCTCTAATGTTGTTGTTTTTTAATTTAACAAACATATGTCTCGTGGCATGATTAAACATAATTTAAAGCTTAATACAATGGCATACGCATAGCTTCCATACTCTTGAAGTGAGCAGGACTGTTGATATTATTTTCTATACTGTAGTTGATTCCTATCAAAGATGGTTCGAGAAACCGGTTACTACGACCTGCTCGGCGTGAGTCCCAAAGCCTCGCTGGACGAGATAAAAAAGGCATATCGCAAACTGGCGTTGAAATATCACCCGGATAAGAACCCGAATGAAGGAGAGAAAGTAAGTGGAGGGGCTGGGGCTGAGCCAAATGCAGATACAGTGTAGTGTTTCACGTTCGTTGCCTTGTAAATGACAGCGACAGAAGCGAGAGGAACTTTCTGGAAGTGTCCCGAGCACTCATGTCGGCGAAGGATTGCATTGCTATGGGATCTATCCACATTTATTGATGCAAATAGTCAATGCTTTGTATTTTTGTTTTTGTTTTGAATAAGGCAGAAAAAAAGAAAAAAAAAAAAAACAGGTCCCTGATCATATAGGCTTATAATACCTAGTTAGTATGGTAGTTTTTAAGTTAGGTATTGGGTAGGAATTTGGTTGGATTAAAGGATTAGTTCACCCAAAAATGAAAATTCTGTCATTAATAGGGGTTATGTGCAACTTAACTTCCGTATTCTGTAAAACAGGTTGTATCGCTTCTAGTTCAGGTCTTTTGTGTGTGCTTCGTGAAAAAATTAGCTGTTTTACTAGAGATAACTTAAAAGGAGCGAGCAAAGATGATCATAACCAATGAGACGTTTTTCGACGAATCTTTGTGTTCATACCCAAGCAGTTTTCAGTGGCAATGAACGTGCAAATTCACTCCCTGACAGTAGACGGCGCTTATTGAAAAGCAGAAATACTTTTGTCTTTCTAAATGTCTTTCTGGACCTTGAAAGTGGTAATTAAATTGCTGTCTATGCATGGAGGGATCAGAGAGCTCTCGGATTTCGTCAAAACTATCTTAATTTGTGTTCCGAAGATGAACGAAGGTCTTACGGGTTTGGGAACGACATGAGGGTGAGCAATTAATGACAGAATTTTATTTTTTTCTGTGAACTAGCCCTTTAAGGGATGTAGAATATGGTCATGCAGAATAAGACATTAATATGTACTAATAAACAGCCAATAACCTAGTAATATGCATGATAATAAGCAACTAGTTAAAGGTGAGAATTGGACCCCATATTAAAGTGTTACCAAAAAAAGTTATTTTAGTAAAGATAAAGAAAAAAAGACTAAGACAGGCACACATTTGATCTGTTAAATGCAGCATGGGCACTGATCAAGGATGAGAAGTGTTTTTCCTGGGATGTGTTCATGCATTATTAAAATGAGTAATATTAGGATCTTTTCTATTCTCCAGTTCAAACTCATATCACAAGCCTATGATGTCCTGTCAGATCCCAAAAAGCGGGATTTGTATGACCAAGGTGGCGAACAAGCCATCAAGGAGGGAGGCATGGCAGGAGGAGAATCTCCCATGGACATTTTCAACATGTTCTTTGGTGGTGGAGGCAGAATGCAGAGAGAAAGGAGAGGTGAGACATGTGTGCACTTATGTCCCCCCATTGAAAGTCTAAACAAAAAGGTTTAGTGGGGGTCTTGCATACATTTTATGTACTTCAAAGTTTAAGTTTAGTAATATCCAATTATCCATTCATTACTTGTATGTTGTTATTTCCCCTTATTCAGGTAAAAATGTGGTTCACCAACTTGGGGTCACACTGGAGGAATTGTACAAAGGCTCAACGAGGAAACTTGGTCTTCAGAAGAATGTGATCTGTGAGAAATGTGACGGTAAGAAGGTTTATTATTTAATTTGTGCACCTTTATTGGGAAACTTGTTATATTAATATTATTCTTAAAGACCCAATGTTGATTTATCGATTTAAGATGTGAATGGTTGCAGGTTATGGAGGCAAAAAAGGCACAATTGAAAAATGCTCAACTTGCAAAGGAAGAGGGGTTCAGGTCCAGGTGCAACAGATTGGACCCGGAATGATCCAGCAGACTCAGAGCATGTGCTCAGACTGCCAAGGACAAGGAGAGAAGTTCAACTCCAAGGACCGCTGCAAAAACTGCAATGGACACAAAGTAGAGCGCAAGAAGAAGATTCTTGAAGTTCACATTGACAAAGGTAAACAACACCTTCTGTTTCAATTATTTGGAGCAAGCGTTCCAGAAGTATACGAATAATGATCGTTGTCACAGGTATGAAGGATGGCCAGAAAATCACATTCCATGGAGAAGGCGATCAAGAGCCTGGACTGGAGCCTGGTGATGTTTTAATCGTACTGGATTTGAAAGAACACCCTGTCTTCCAAAGGCAAGATGAAAACCTCACCATGACGATGAAGATCAAGCTGGTGGAGGCACTCTGTGGGTTTAAAAAAACAATCCGCACATTAGATAACAGATCGCTGCTCGTCAATTCATCTCCAGGTATTTACTATATACCATTTAATTGAGTATAACATTTTATTTTTAAAAAATAATATTTAGTGAATAAAACATTTTAATTAAAATTAAATATATTCCCACATACTATTCATTTGTGTGAATATTTCAATTAATATTTAGTACATACACGTTTTAATTAATTAGTTTAATTTTGATTCAGTTAGAATTTTTATTGTCTTTTTTGTTTTAGGTCAAGTAATAAAACCTAATGAGCTAAAATGTATTCATAACGAGGGCATGCCTCTGTACAGAGACCCTTGTGAGAAAGGTCTTCTCATCATAAAGTTTGAGGTAAGTCGGTGCCCTGTGTTATAAGGTTTTAGTTTAAAACATTTTAAAAAAGTTCTCTGATATTTTGTAAAAAATTATTAAAATAAAAATAAATAAAAATATGGAGAAAAACGTGTGTGAAAGTATAGAGCCCTACACATGACATGCAGACAAAAATGGCCACAAATTAAGATTTAATTCTCTAATTTTAGTAAATTGTGGTCATGATTTACTAATTTGTTCCCTCATTTTAGTTAAATCGTGGTCACAAATTGAAGAGTTAGTTCGCAGAAAAATGTAATTTTTTTTTTAAAAAAATCCATTATTTACTCTGCCTCATGTCATTCAAAACATGCAAGACCTGTGCTCATCTTTAAAACACAAAAGAAGATTTTTAAAATTAATTGTCCCTCCATTGACAGTACACTCAACTACCACTGTCGTTTCAAAAGGTTTATACACAGATTGTAAAACTAATCCACATGAATCAAGTGGTTTAGTCCAAATTTTCTGAAGAGACTAAATCGTTTTATATCATGAACAGAATTTAGGCTTTTATTCACAAATAAACATTGATCTGCGGACATAAACAGAAGCTCAATTGTACTTGCTTGACGCGCAAGAACAAACCTCACTGGTTCTTGCGGAAGCTCAAACGTGCTGCATAACACATGAGAATGAACCTCATTGGTTCTTGCTGAAGCTCAAACGTGCTGCGTAACACGAGAATGAACCTCATTGGTTCTTGCTGAAGCTCAAACGTGCTGCGTAACACGAGAATGAACCTCATTGGTTCTTGCTGAAGCTCAAACGTGCTGCGTAACACATGAGAATGAACCTCATTGGTTCTTGCTGAAGCTCAAACGTGCTGCGTAACACGAGAATGAACCTCATTGGTTCTTGCTGAAGCTCAAACGTGCTGCGTAACACGAGAATGAACCTCATTGGTTCTTGCTGAAGCTCAAACGTGCTGCGTAACACAAGAATGAACCTCATTGGTTCTTGCTGAAGCTCAAACGTGCTGCGTAACACGAGAATGAACCTCATTGGTTCTTGCTGATGCTCAAACGTGCTGCGTAACACAAGAATGAACCTCATTGGTTCTTGCTGAAGCTCAAACGTGCTGCGTAACACAAGAATGAACCTCATTGGTTCTTGCTGATGCTCAAACGTGCAGCGTAACACGAGAATGAACCTCATTGGTTCTTGCTGATGCTCAAACGTGCTGCGTAACACAAGAATGAACCTCATTGGTTCTTGCTGAAGCTCAAACGTGCAGCGTAACACATGAGAATGAACCTCATTGGTTCTTGCTGATGCTCAAACGTGCTGCGTAACACGTGAATGAACCTCATTTGTTCTTGCTGATGCTCAAACGTGCTGCGTAACACGTGAATGAACCTCATTTGTTCTTGCTGAAGCTCAAACGTGCTGCGTAACACATGAGAATGAACCTCATTGGTTCTTGCTGAAGCTCAAACGTGCTGCGTAACACAAGAATGAATCTCATTGGTTCTTGCTGATGCTCAAACGTGCAGCGTAACACAAGAATGAACCTCATTGGTTCTTGCTGAAGCTCAAACGTGCTGCGTAACACGAGAATGAACCTCATTGGTTCTTGCTGAAGCTCAAACGTGCAGCGTAACACATGAGAATGAACCTCATTGGTTCTTGCTGAAGCTCAAACGTGCAGCGTAACACGAGAATGAACCTCATTGGTTCTTGCTGATGCTCAAACGTGCTGCGTAACACATGAGAATGAACCTCATTGGTTCTTGCTGAAGCTCAAACGTGCAGCGTAACACATGAGAATGAACCTCATTGGTTCTTGCTGAAGCTCAAACGTGCAGCGTAACACGAGAATGAACCTCATTGGTTCTTGCTGATGCTCAAACGTGCTGCGTAACACATGAGAATGAACCTCATTGGTTCTTGCTGATGCTCAAACGTGCAGCGTAACACGAGAATGAACCTCATTTGTTCTTGCTGAAGCTCAAACGTGCTGCGTAACACATGAGAATGAACCTCATTGGTTCTTGCTGATGCTCAAACGTGCTGCGTAACACATGAGAATGAACCTCATTGGTTCTTGCTGAAGCTCAAACGTGCAGCGTAACACTAGAATGAACCTCATTTGTTCTTGCTGAAGCTCAAACGTGCTGCGTAACACAAGAATGAATCTCATTGGTTCTTGCTGATGCTCAAACGTGCAGCGTAACACAAGAATGAACCTCATTGGTTCTTGCTGAAGCTCAAACGTGCTGCGTAACACGAGAATGAACCTCATTGGTTCTTGCTGAAGCTCAAACGTGCAGCGTAACACATGAGAATGAACCTCATTGGTTCTTGCTGAAGCTCAAACGTGCAGCGTAACACGAGAATGAACCTCATTGGTTCTTGCTGAAGCTCAAACGTGCAGCGTAACACATGAGAATGAACCTCATTGGTTCTTGCTGAAGCTCAAACGTGCAGCGTAACACGAGAATGAACCTCATTGGTTCTTGCTGATGCTCAAACGTGCTGCGTAACACATGAGAATGAACCTCATTGGTTCTTGCTGAAGCTCAAACGTGCTGCGTAACACGAGAATGAACCTCATTGGTTCTTGCTGAAGCTCAAACGTGCTGCGTAACACAAGAATGAACCTCATTTGTTCTTGCTGAAGCTCAAACGTGCTGCGTAACACAAGAATGAACCTCATTTGTTCTTGCTGATGCTCAAACGTGCTGCGTAACACGAGAATGACCCTCATTTGTTCTTGCTGAAGCTCAAACGTGCTGCGTAACACATGAGAATGAACCTCATTGGTTCTTGCTGAAGCTCAAACGTGCTGCGTAACACAAGAATGAACCTCATTTGTTCTTGCTGATGCTCAAACGTGCTGCGTAACACGAGAATGACCCTCATTTGTTCTTGCTGAAGCTCAAACGTGCTGCGTAACACATGAGAATGAACCTCATTGGTTCTTGCTGAAGCTCAAACGTGCTGCGTAACACAAGAATGAACCTCATTGGTTCTTGCTGAAGCTCAAACGTGCAGCGTAACACGAGAATTAACCTCATTGGTTCTTGCTGATGCTCAAACGTGCTGCGTAACACGAGAATGACCCTCATTTGTTCTTGCTGAAGCTCAAACGTGCAGCGTAACACGAGAATGAACCTCATTGGTTCTTGCTGATGCTCAAACGTGCTGCGTAACACGAGAATGAACCTCATTGGTTCTTGCTGAAGCTCAAACGTGCAGCGTAACACGAGAATGAACCTCATTTGTTCTTGCTGAAGCTCAAACGTGCTGCGTAACACGAGAATGAACCTCATTGGTTCTTGCTGAAGCTCAAACGTGCTGCGTAACACGAGAATGAACCTCATTGGTTCTTGCTGAAGCTCAAACGTGCTGCGTAACACGAGAATGAACCTCATTGGTTCTTGCTGATGCTCAAACGTGCAGCGTAACACGAGAATGAACCTCATTTGTTCTTGCTGAAGCTCAAACGTGCAGCGTAACACGAGAATGAACCTCATTTGTTCTTGCTGAAGCTCAAACGTGCTGCGTAACACAAGAATGAACCTCATTTGTTCTTGCTGAAGCTCAAACGTGCAGCGTAACACGAGAATTAACCTCATTGGTTCTTGCTGATGCTCAAACGTGCTGCGTAACACATGAGAATGAACCTCATTGGTTCTTGCTGAAGCTCAAACGTGCAGCGTAACACGAGAATGAACCTCATTGGTTCTTGCTGATGCTCAAACGTGCTGCGTAACACATGAGAATGAACCTCATTGGTTCTTGCTGAAGCTCAAACGTGCTGCGTAACACGAGAATGAACCTCATTTGTTCTTGCTGAAGCTCAAACGTGCTGCGTAACACAAGAATGAACCTCATTGGTTCTTGCTGATGCTCAAACGTGCAGCGTAACACGAGAATGAACCTCATTTGTTCTTGCTGAAGCTCAAACGTGCTGCGTAACACATGAGAATGAACCTCATTGGTTCTTGCTGATGCTCAAACGTGCAGCGTAACACATGAGAATGAACCTCATTGGTTCTTGCTGAAGCTCAAACGTGCAGCGTAACACGAGAATTAACCTCATTGGTTCTTGCTGATGCTCAAACGTGCTGCGTAACACATGAGAATGAACCTCATTGGTTCTTGCTGAAGCTCAAACGTGCAGCGTAACACGAGAATGAACCTCATTGGTTCTTGCTGAAGCTCAAACGTGCAGCGTAACACGAGAATGAACCTCATTTGTTCTTGCTGAAGCTCAAACGTGCTGCGTAACACAAGAATGAACCTCACTGGTTCTTGCTGATGCTCAAACGTGCAGCGTAACACGAGAATGAACCTCATTGGTTCTTGCTGATGCTCAAACGTGCAGCGTAACACGAGAATGAACCTCATTGGTTCTTGCTGAAGCTCAAACGTGCTGCGTAACACATGAGAATGAACCTCATTGGTTCTTGCTGAAGCTCAAACGTGCTGCGTAACACGAGAATGAACCTCATTGGTTCTTGCTGAAGCTCAAACGTGCTGCGTAACACGAGAATGAACCTCATTGGTTCTTGCTGATGCTCAAACGTGCAGCGTAACACGAGAATGAACCTCATTTGTTCTTGCTGAAGCTCAAACGTGCAGCGTAACACGAGAATGAACCTCATTTGTTCTTGCTGAAGCTCAAACGTGCTGCGTAACACAAGAATGAACCTCATTGGTTCTTGCTGATGCTCAAACGTGCTGCGTAACACAAGAATGAACCTCATTTGTTCTTGCTGAAGCTCAAACGTGCAGCGTAACACGAGAATTAACCTCATTGGTTCTTGCTGATGCTCAAACGTGCTGCGTAACACATGAGAATGAACCTCATTGGTTCTTGCTGAAGCTCAAACGTGCAGCGTAACACGAGAATGAACCTCATTGGTTCTTGCTGATGCTCAAACGTGCTGCGTAACACATGAGAATGAACCTCATTGGTTCTTGCTGAAGCTCAAACGTGCTGCGTAACACGAGAATGAACCTCATTTGTTCTTGCTGAAGCTCAAACGTGCTGCGTAACACAAGAATGAACCTCATTGGTTCTTGCTGATGCTCAAACGTGCAGCGTAACACGAGAATGAACCTCATTTGTTCTTGCTGAAGCTCAAACGTGCTGCGTAACACATGAGAATGAACCTCATTGGTTCTTGCTGATGCTCAAACGTGCAGCGTAACACATGAGAATGAACCTCATTGGTTCTTGCTGAAGCTCAAACGTGCAGCGTAACACGAGAATTAACCTCATTGGTTCTTGCTGATGCTCAAACGTGCTGCGTAACACATGAGAATGAACCTCATTGGTTCTTGCTGAAGCTCAAACGTGCAGCGTAACACGAGAATGAACCTCATTGGTTCTTGCTGAAGCTCAAACGTGCAGCGTAACACGAGAATGAACCTCATTTGTTCTTGCTGAAGCTCAAACGTGCTGCGTAACACAAGAATGAACCTCACTGGTTCTTGCTGATGCTCAAACGTGCAGCGTAACACGAGAATGAACCTCATTGGTTCTTGCTGATGCTCAAACGTGCAGCGTAACACGAGAATGAACCTCATTGGTTCTTGCTGAAGCTCAAACGTGCTGCGTAACACATGAGAATGAACCTCATTGGTTCTTGCTGAAGCTCAAACGTGCTGCGTAACACGAGAATGAACCTCATTGGTTCTTGCACGCCAAGCGAACATGCTTGAGCTTCCATTTACCACAACCGATGTGTGAATAAAAGCCTGAATTCAATCTGTTCATCATATAAAGCAATTGAGTCTCTTCAGAAAATTTGGACTAAACCGCTTCATATAGATTCGTTTTACGATCTCTTTATGAACACTTTGAAGCATCAAAGTTTGTGTAGACTGTCAATGGAGGGAGAGAAATCTCTCAGATTGCATTAAAAAATATCTTAATTTGTGTTCTGAAGATGAATGAAAATCTTAAAGGTGCAAAAACTATATTATGTATGAGTACAGAGAAATGAATACAAACAGTCAAGATGGTGAAAGCATTGAGCGCGTCATATGCATGCGTATAATGTCACCGTTTTCACAAATTTACATTTTTGTAGTTTACTCAGAGAAGATTAAAAACTTGTACTTTGAAACCCATTTTAATTTTTTTTGCTTTTTTAGGCCCCCAAAACGCTGTTGTTGTGTAAATTAACGGCCAAATCGCATAAAAAGGTTTCCATTTTTAGTTGAAAACAGCATCGTGTAAATGGCCCCTAAAACAGGGGAATGAGTTTGATTGAACTAAAACATGGGACAGAATTAACAAAACTATATATATATACAGTGAGGAAAATAAGTATTGGAACACCCTGCTATTTTGCAAGTTCTCCCACTTAGAAATCATGGAGGGGTCTGAAATTGTCATCGTAGGTGCATGTCCACTGTGAGAGACATAATCAAAAAAAAAAACAGAAATCACAATATATGATTTTTTAACTATTTATTTGTATGATACAGCTGCAAATAAGTATTTGAACACCTGTCTATCAGCTAGAATTCTGACCCTCAAAGACTTGTTAGTCTGCCTTTAATTGTCCACCTCCACTCCATTTATTATCCTAAATTAGATGCACCTGTTTGAGGTCATTAGCAGCATAAAGACACCTGTCCACCCCATACAATCAGTAAGAATCCAACTACTAACATGGCCAAGACCAAAGAGCTGTCCAAAGACAATAGAGACAAAATTGTACACCTCCACAAGGCTGGAAAGGGCTACGGGGAAATTGCCAAGCAGCTTGGTGAAAAAAGGTCCACTGTTGGAGCAATCATTAGAAAATGGAAGAAGCTAAACATGACTGTCAATCTCCCTCGGACTGGGGCTCCATGCAAGATCTCTTCTCGTGGGGTCTCAATGATCCTAAGAAAGGTGAGAAATCAGCCCAGAACTACACGGGAGGAGCTGGTCAATGACCTGAAAAGAGCTGGGACCACCGTTTCCAAGGTTACTGTTGGTAATACACCAAGACGTCATGGTTTGAAATCATGCATGGCATGGAAGGTTCCCCTGCTTAAACCAGCACATGTCAAGTCCCGTCTTAAGTTTGCCAATGACCATTTAGATGATCCAGAGGAGTCATGGGAGAAAGTCATGTGGTCAGATGATACCAAAATAGAACTTTTTGGTCATAATTCCACTCGCCGTGTTTGGAGGAAGAAGAATGATGAGTACCATCACAAGAACACCATCCCTACTGTGAAGCATGGGGGTGGTAGCATCATGCTTTGGGGGTGTTTTTCTGCACATGGGACAGGGCGACTGCACTGTATTAAGGAGAGGATGACCGGGGCCATGTATTGCGAGATTTTGGGGAACAACCTCCTTCCCTCAGTTAGAGCATTGAAGATGGGTCGAAGCTGGGTCTTCCAACATGACAATGACCTGAAGCACACAGCCAGGATAACCAAGGAGTGGCTCTGTAAGAAGCATATCAAGGTTCTGGCGTGGCCTAGCCAGTCTCCAGACCTAAACCCAATAGAGAATCTTTGGAGGGAGCTCAAACTCTGTGTTTCTCTGCGACAGCCCAGAAACCTGACTGATCTAGAGAAGATCTGTGTGGAGGAGTGAGCCAAAATCCCTCCTGCAGTGTGTGCAAACCTGGTGAAAAACTACAGGAAACGTTTGACCTCTGTAATTGCAAACAAAGGCTACTGTACCAAATATTAACATTGATTTTCTCAGGTGTTCAAATACTTATTTGCAGCTGTATCATACAAATAAATAATTAAAAAATCATACATTTTGATTTCTGGATTTTTTTTTTTTTTTGATTGTCTCTCACAGTGGACATGCACCTACGATGACAATTTCAGACCCCTCCATGATTTCTAAGTGGGAGGAACTTGCAAAATAGCAGGGTGTTCAAATACTTATTTTCCTCACTGTATATATATATTTTTTTCCCCCTTTCTTTCAACCAATGGTTATCTGTATCTTGTGTTGGGATGATCACATCTCACAGAAACATTTCTGTTCCCTCAGATTGAATTCCCAGATAAACACTGGCTACCTGAGCACATGCGGCCTGACCTGGAGAGGTTGCTTCCCGCCAGAGATCACGTCATGGTGACAGATGATATGGAAGAGGTTGACCTCTGTGAAGTAGATTATGAAACACAGAAGAGAAACTACAGCAGTGAAGCCTACGATGAAGATGAAGGCCCCCGGCAAAGTGGTGTCCAATGCCAGACTCAATAAATGTCATAGATCAGGAACATTTGTGGAATACTTCTTGAAATATGACTGCAAGTCTACACTGAATATTAGGGTGGTTAAATCTAGTTCTTGCAGAGTAATGCGTGCAGCAAGGATTTCCCCCTACCAAAGCCTTACAAAATGGACCATTCTCTTGTCACCATTGGAATTCTTAATTCTGAAGCATCTGATAAGGAGGAACCAGGAATGTTTTGCAACATCCACCACAAATAAGTATTAACAGACAAAGGAATTATTTTGAATAAAAATGTCATCCATGTAGGATTTAATAGTAACTTCTTTTTTTGCATGTAAATTATTCATCCTGTGTGAGTATGTTCACTTTTATGTTTCTGTTAGATGTGATTTGGTCGAGCTGGTGCACTTTTTTGCCAGTTAAAATAAAATCGGTATTTGTATATTTTCTAAGAATGTGACTCTGTATGTTTAACTTGTCAAAGTTTCTTCCCTTGAATGTGTTCTATTTTTCACAAATAAAACATTTCCTCCTTTGTTTACTTGTACATGTGCAACTGAATGGAAGCGATTTAGGAATGGTATATTTTTCATTTATTTAAGCAAAAAGTTCTAGATGAAGATAGCATAAAATCTAAGGTGAAACATTTAGTTTAACACATTTTGGTCAAATAAACAAACATAATAATTCATAACATAAAAAAATATTTTAAAAATCTGGCGACCCCAAACTTTTATTAACGGCAAGGATAACAATATCCTCAGCAACTTTGAATGTGTTGATGGTAAAAATGGCATTACATGAAGTCAACATGCTGATTATTGCACAAGATGAGAAATTAAACGTAAAACATCACACACAATTAAATTTCAGGATGCAGTTGTGTCATGCAGAAGAATCTTTATTTAGAACCACTGAACCGATAACATGGTAGAAAGAACCTGCCATGCACCAATTATAATCACATTTAAAGTTCATTCATTGTAATCAATGAAAAAGTAAGGCATTAAGAAGTTGCACAATTTCTTTGTATTCAAAGCATCATTCCTTTTTCATCCTTCTCAGTGTTGCTTTCTTCTGAAAGAGCAACCTATTTGGAAAAAGAAATGTAGCTTCATATCATATTGCAATATGAGACACTGTATCACCAGATAGATAACATTATATGCAGTAACTTCTGATGCAAAAATACAAAATCAACAGTAACTCTGGACATATTACAATCATACAGTAGATAAATACACACCCTCAGTCAGCCTAGCTTTTCCTCCTGTTGGCTGGCAGAGAACGGTTGAACACCCAACACACAACACAACTGTCTGTGCATGACTAAACACAGTTGTGATCTTATAACAACCTACGTGGAAATAAGCAGAAAAGATTACATTTTCTACAAGTGAAATATTACACATAAGGCAAACAAAGTTTCTTCTATAGATCTCAAACCTGGACATTTTACATCCATGAAGTATGAGTTGGGACTCTGCACAAGCCTTTTCTTCTTATGCTGCCTTCGTTCAAAATCAAAGGACGGGTTGAGTAGATCTTTGGCCAGCTGTTACAATAAGAATAAATGAATAAATATATATATATATATATATATATATATATATATATATATATATATATATATATATATATATATATATTACACACACACACACAGTAGTGGCCAAAAGTAATGTCCGGCCTAGGACATTTGACATCTTCACCCTTTATTCAAACATTATTAATATTAAAAATGTGTTAAAGGTTGTTTAAGCATATTGCGTAGTTGTGCTCGAGTCAGTTGTTTTATTTGTGATAACGCTGTGAAACATGCCAAATTGTGTTGTCATGATTTTTGGCCAGACTATCATACAGAGAAATTATAAACAGGCAAAAAAACAACAACAGAGAACCAATAAAATATTAATAACTGATTATGATGTAGTCAATGCATGCCTTTTTTTCTTGTGAGTTTCTCGTTTTTCTTTACTTTTGGACACTACACACACACACACACACACACACACACACACACACACACTTATACACACACACACACACACACACACACACACACACACACACACACACTTATACATAAACACACACACACATAATGTTACTATATAAATTTCCTTAAACAATATGACAGTTATTTTAATCTCTTAATTAGAAAATCTGCAATCTATTTTAAGCATGCTTCTTTCATGCTTCTGCACACAAAAACAACATTGTTCAACAGCCATATTGATCACTTCCCTCTTTGTCAGTCTGAAAACTATAATGACTTACTTTTAAAAACACAAATGAAACATCAATCTGATTCAATCTATCGTTTTGCTCGGTGGTATGTAACAGTTGAAATGTTCCTCGTGCAAAGTGAAACATTAGGCCTTATCTGAACCAGCGCCATGTGAGATCAAAAACTTTCCCATGTTTATCGCACGGTTAAAATAATCAACAGCTGGATTAATATTAAAACGGCAGACGATATAATCTATATTAACAACTGTCAAATGCAAGATTCGTTGTCTAGCTGAGCAAATCCACTTACTGGCATTGTCGGGAGCTGCTGATTTTCGCATTCGTGTGCGCGCGCGTGTGTGTGTGTCTGCTGCTTTCCTCCTCGCTCGGGTAACTGCAGGGTTGCCACGCGCAGCTTCATAAAGTAAATCTGATCAGACATGCCCAGGCATGCTCAACAATAAAACACTCCTTTATACATTGGTCCCTGTAAAACCATCTATCTGTCTAAAGGTTCTTGAACACTGAGTCCGCAATTTTCGTATGCGTTTGTATCCGTTAGGGGTTAAATTTCGGACTCAGCGTGAAGGACCTTACCTGTCTATCTGTCTGTCTGTCTGTCCGTCCGTCCGTCCATCTATCTATTTCCAGAGTATATCTGTGGATCTGTATCAGATTCTATCTATCTAACTATCTATCTATCTATCTATCTATCTATCTATCTATCTATCTATCTATCTATCTATCTATCTATCTATCTATCTATCTATCTATCTATCTATCTATCTATCTATCTAAAAATGATAAAGCTGTATGATTTCCAATTGCAATAAAATAAAACAAATAGACCCTCTGGGTGATATTTCCCGTACTGGCAACCCTGACATTTCTCAGAGCTCCTAAGATGCATTTCCTTCCTTTATTCTTAGCAGCTTCCTCCACTACAAAACACATTTCATTGTTTGATTTAGTTAACTTGTTCTTCTTTACTCTTCTTTGATTGAAGCGTATACGAACGTTGAGTAGACGTACATCTACTATTTAATCTATCTGTACAATCTCTTTAATCTGGTAGTCTACGCCCCCTAGTGGCTGTTAAATGGCAGAATTTAGGTTTTTCAGACCTGGGTTTTTCTAACCCTAACAATACGACCAGGGAGGGACATCTTCTTAGGATAGATCATAGACTGGGATGGATGGATGGATGGATGGATGGATGGATGGATGGATGGATGGATGGATAGATAGATAGATAGATAGATAGATAGATAGATAGATAGATAGATAGATAGATAGATAGATAGATAGATAGATAGATAGATAGATATCTATGGCCGTTCATGTCGAGTACGACAAACTGCTTCCCGTTTTGAGCGTCTCTCTTCCAGAAATGACTTGTAGGCCTCCTGAGAGTCCCTGCGGCCGTTGTTAATTGCTGTGCGCCATTTGGTTCTGTCATTTGCAATTGCCTCCCAGTTGTCCAGGTTGATGGAGAAAGCCTGAAGATCCCTCTTAATGACGTCTTTAAAACGTAGATGGGGGCGACCATGTTTGCGGGGGGCATTTGCCAGCTCGCCATAAAGAAAGATTTTTGGAAGGCGAGTGTCATTCATTCGATATATATGCCCAGTCCAACGGAGGTGGCGTTCACTAAGGATGGTGTACAGGTCACTGGAACCAGTTCTCTCAAGTATGACAGAGTTTGGCACATGATCCTTCCAGCATACACCCAGTATGGAACGAAGGCAGCGAAAATGGAAGGCGTTGAGGCGATGTTCGTGCCTCCTGTATGTTGTCCATGTCTCACTTGCATATAGTAAGGTGCTCAATACACATGCATGGTACACACGGACTTTGAGGAGCATTGAGAGGTTCTTGTTGTGCCAGACACGCTTGCTCAATTTTCCAAACATTGATGATGCCTTCCCAATGCGCATGTCAAGCTCTGCGTCAAGGTTATTGTTGTTTGATACGGTGGAACCCAGGTAGGTGAATTTGTCTACCACAGATAGACATGTGTTGTTAATGTATACTGTAGGGTTTAGGGTTGCAGGTTGGGCAAGAATAACTGTCTTTTTAAGACTAATCTGCAAACCAAACTCTAGACATGCAGCAGCAAAAGATGAGCAGAGTAGTTGTAGATCTGCCTCTGAGTGGGCAACAAAGGCAGCATCATCAGCATAAAGCAGCTCACGTACCAGAATATGGCGCACTTTAGTCTTCGCCCGCAGTCTGGCCAGATTGAACAGTTTTCCTGAGCTGCGGGTATGTAGAAGGATACCCGAGTCATCAGGGAAGGCACGGCGTAGTAGGGCAGAGAAGAATATTCCGAAGAGGGTAGGAGCAAGGACACATCCCTGCTTTACCCCACACCTTATCTGGAACTCGTCAGAGCGAGTGCCTTCAGACTGTACAGTTGCCTTCATGCCCTCATGAAACTCAGTGATCACCTTCAGTAACTTTGGAGGGCAGCCAAGTCTTTGTAAAATGAGGAAAAGTCCAGATCGACTAACGTAGTCAAAGGCCTTGGTCAAGTCTACAAACACCAAGAACAGAGGTTTATGCTGTTCTATACACTTTTCCTGTAGTTGACGGACACAGAAAACCATGTCTGCTATGGAGCGGCCAGCACGAAACCCACACTGGGTTTCAGGGAGGATACGGTCAGCAAGGATTTGTAGACGTGGTAGAATAGTGCGAGCAAATATCTTGCCAGCAAGACTGAGCAGAGATATTCCTCTGAAGTTGTTACAGTCTGTACGGCCCCCCTTGTTTTTATAGATGGTGATGATGTTGGCATCTCTAAGGACATCTGGGAGATATCCACTGTTCCAGCACATCACAACCAATATGATAGATAGATAGATAGATAGATATATAGATAGATAGATAGATAGATAGATAGATAGATAGATAGATAGATAGATAGATAGATAGATAGATAGATAGATATTTTTCAAAACGAAACCATTAGCCTAACTGGACTTGGAAAAAACGATGATATATATTTTTTATTCTGAAACTTGATGTGCAAAGACTTTCTAAAGACAACAAAAATCCTTCTTACACTTAGTAATATCGGTATGAAATTTTAAAAAATGTGTTAACAAGCCACACAATAGATTAATTATTTTTTGTTATAAATGCATTGCTTTCTCTATAACCACAGGTGATGTATCTGGGGGGCTCCTACATAGACATAATTATGTCTATGGGCTCCTAGGGTAGCCTACCGTGTCACTGTGATCCTAAAAGGAAAAAAATGTCCTCCTAGAAACTACATTGACCAATCGCGTACGTGTCGTCGCGCTGACGTCACACAACGAGGCCCCGCCCTCGCTCGAGACCGTATGATTTTTGTGTCAATGCCATGAACAAGGGAAACTGTGCACTGTCATTCATTAAGGAAATACTGGCTTGGTAAATGGCGAAGACTTACGATTACCTTTTCAAACTCTTGCTAATTGGAGACAGTGGAGTTGGAAAGACATGTCTGCTGTTCAGATTCAGCGAGGACGCGTTTAACACCACCTTCATCTCCACAATCGGTCAGTTCACCGGTGATCTGGGTAGAAGGTATTGGACGGTGTCCCGTTATATGCAGGACAATAGTGTTCAGATACAGTAAAACTGTAATAATTAAGTTTCTAGTTTCATTTGCATTGATAAAGTAGGTTTGAAAAGCACATGTGTTTTTTCAGTTAATTATATGATTATGTTTAAAACATCTAGATTTTAGACATGCATAGGCCTTTGATTACATAGCTTATGTAGACAAATTAAAATATATATTTCTCATAATGTTTTGTTTAATATATATATATATATATATATATATATATATATATATATATATATATATAATAAATTGTTTTTATTTTAATAAGTTATATAATTTAAATGTACCGGTATTACTGGTATGTGTTTTATTTCTATACAAATCAGTATTAAAAATTAGTATCAACTAATAAAATATGTAGGTAAATAATCAGATAGATAGATTAATAAATAGATAGATAGGTTAGGTAGATGGATAGAAGAATCTATCTATATCTGATACAGATCCACAGATACACTCTGGAAACAATGCTGTCGGTGAAGGTGTGAGAGTCATATTTTGCTGACCACAGCTGTATCTACTTTTAACCTGTCAAACCCTGCTCACTAATGGCCTTACAAGTTCATACAGGAGTCTACACAAGAGAAACATAAACTGTATTATTGAGTTATACATTTTGTGTTCATGCTAATGGGTTCAAGCCACTTAGTAAGTTGCTGTTATAGATGTTTTGCTGTTGTGTTCACTGTTCAGGTTTAAAACCCATGACCATATGCTGTTTTCCATATGATGACAAACAAGGAACATGCTTCCTCTTGATGCAGAAAACCTAAGATGCTGTAAAATAATATTCATATGCATACAGGATGAATAAGTGCGAAATTTGCATTGCAAATGCTTAAATAACCTCATCAGCCTTTCTCAAATAGATTTTATATAATTGTTTTTCCCTGTCAGCATAAACCTCATAACATTTTGTTTAATATACGATTAAAACAAGAAAAAAAGTTTTAAAAAAAGAAAAAATGAAAACAGGTGTTAATCTCTCATACAATTTAACTTCTCATGCACACTTATCTTGCTTTAAGGATTTTTTAGACAAAATACTTTTTGCATTGTGTGTGTGAAAGCTGCACAGTTGTCTTTCGTCTGCCTGCACAGAGAGTTTAGTCATTTCCTTTGTCAGTTTTTCCATCTGATTAAAACATCACCGCCCCCCTCTGCCTTTGTTTGCGATGCTGTCTTGCAATGGGCTCTCTGAGCCTCGACTTTCTTTCAGACTTCATTTGTATTTACATCCCATTTATCTGCAAAACCAGCACATTCTCTGAGTCAAAACAGCTATTTCCCTGAAAAAAGTAGTTTTTTTTTTTAAGATGTGAGAAATCATCACGACCACTTTGCATAAACAATATTTTGATGACAAAGTCAGGACGGAGTGCTGGGGAAAGTACGGTTCCTTTGTGTGGGGTCATAGTAGACTTGACCGTGAACAGAGAGCTGTACTGTTTGAATCCCCATCATGTTCTCGTGATATTCACTCAGCCCATCTCAGCATTCTTCCGCCAATGCAGTGGAGCGTTTGACTGGCATCTGCTTTCTTGTGCCAGGACGTCCATGACCCCAGTTGTGGCCACTCTGCATACTTCCCCACACTTCTCTGAGCTGTCCACCTCCACCTCCACTTCCTGTGACTCTCTCTCTGTGTGTGTGTGTGTGTTTCTCTCAGGGTTGTGATATTGCTTAACTAGATTGCTTGATAAATTGCTTGTCATGTCCCTTATTTTAACTGTAGCTAAGCATCTGGTAAAGTACTGAATGCAAATGCAATATTCAAATTTTCATTGATTGAAATGCCAATGAACTCCACAATGTTGGAGTGGTGTTTGGATGTTCTGGGTGTAAAGCAACACCCAAGTCTCCAAATATAATATTATGGTCTCTAAACTGCAAAAAAAACTAATTTCTTAAGGACCGTTCACACCATGGACGATAACTGTAATGATAATGATAACGAAATATTTTTTAAAATTGTTTTATTTAAAAGAATAGGAGAGTCCACACCAGAACTACAACAATAACGCCACGATATAGCGTTGGAGTCACTTTCACGATTCTTTTCCAGCTGATGAACGATAAAAACATTGACAGCCAATCAGAATCCATCCCGAGAGAGCTCGAGCATTTAAAGTGTCAGATGACAAAACTGCTGCGTGTGTTTATAATAAACAGAACGTTATCGTGCGTTGCGTTGATGTCGACGCAAAATTGTTATAGTTAGCTTCATAGTAATGGTTTTTAAGGTGAATGGGCCTTTAGTCAGTATATGGTCTTGTTTCCAGTATACATATCTAACAAGATAAATATATGCCAAAATGACATAAGATGAAGATCTTATTGTCAGAGAAATCAAACTAAATTTAATGAGGTTTTATGCGTAAAACAAGAACTGTTCTTATAAACCTCTTAGTTACCAGCCCAGATCTTGAACTACTATATTGTTGTAGCATTAGACATTTTTCCCACAGGAAAATCACATCACAAAGCCTCTAGTTATATTGAGTGTAAGGCATCTTTTGAATTTCTATTGAATTTGTTTCATAAATAAGCTTAGAAATCTTGATTTATTTCATGAATGGAAACCATCTTTCTACAACGTCAATAGGTTCAAGATGTCAGATACACAGAGATTCAGAGAACAACCTAAAATTATAGGTTTGTTGCAAAGTACACAACTTGTTGCCTGATACAAGCAACAAGCAATTTTCCACTAACCAGCAGGACAAAAATAAAAAGGAAAGAGGAGCAGTTTAACCCCAGGAACTGGAAATAGCTCATTATATCTTCACCACTGCAGTGTAACATTGATTGTACCATTGATTCCATGTGGTGCCAGTCACTGAAGATCTGACGATGTTTCCCTTCTTCTCTGTTGCCAGGAATTGATTTCAAAATCAGAACTATCGAGCTGAACGGCAAGAAAATCAAGCTGCAGATATGGTGAGCAGATATCGTTTGTCATTAATATGCAGTGCCAAGTTGTGTCTTATATCCTGTTATGTCATCATTTACACTTCGTCTTTAGAGATATTTAAAGCTGTGTAAACTCTTAGTTTGTTTAAAGAGATACTCACACCCTAAACAGACTTTTGAATATAGGGAACAGATTCTACACTTAATTAGAGTTGTGTTGCTTTTAAACATTATACCAGTTAGCTTCGAGACATTATGCTATTGTAGTCTACTCCTAAAAGCACATACCAACATTTTATTCATCTTGCACACAAATATTCACATTTTTTGTCCAATAAAATGCTCTCTAGAATGACAATGCAACTTGTGAAAATAGAAGTACACTTTAGCACACTTTTAAAATGAATACTTATTACAATTATGCTATAAAAATATAGGCCTATACTTCAAAATAATATACTTAAGTGCGAACTGAATATGTTTTCAGACTCTTAACTGCATGTCATTTGCAATTAAATAAATTGTATTATATAGTTTTTATTAAATGCTAATTTTAGTTAAACTTAAATCTTCTTATTCGGCCCACTTAAGTCCATCTTTATATGTAATTTTCGTAATTACTCCTGTTGTCTTTGAAATATGGTTAAAGTGTACTGCTGAATGTACTAAAATACATTTTAATGTCATTTCTATTGAAACTTGTATTGAAATATATTTGTAATTACATATTTGTAATGATGTAATTGCAATTTTGTACATTTAAAATATATGTGTGCTTTAGCATAGTAGGCAAAACAGAAGGATTTAAAATGTACTTTAAAGTAAAACTTTGAATGCGACATTGTGTACAGTAAATAAGTGTACTTAAAGGGATAGTTCACTTTGAAATAAATTTTTGGTATGTTTTAGCTTACCTCAAGGGCATCCAAGATGTAGGTGTCTTTGTTTCCGCAGTAGTTTCAATTTTGATATTTTTAGGTCAAACCGTTCTTGTCTGTCAGTCATATAATGCAGGTGAGAAGTCCAAATTAAACATGATTAAAGGTGCCTTGTGTAAAAAAAATCAATTCAAAATCCACATATTCCATACCAGATGGGGGCAGTATACCTCCAGAAAGTTGGCCTACTCTTGTCTGTTTTTTAGTTTCGGGTTGTTAATCTTCTAAAACCGTCAAATCGTCCGCTTTGTCCCGCCAAAGCCTATTTTGATCGGTGAGTGATGTAGAATAGAATGACTGCTGCGCTTGACAGGGCGCATAACGAGCAGAGAGAGAGAGAGAGCGCCCCGGCCGCGCGCGCGCACTCTCACGTCTTCAAACAACACGAGCGCTGTCCTCCTGCTCTCTCTCTCCCTCGTGCATATTAATCAAATCAATTGACACGATCGTAAGACCGCAGTTCATTTGGAGATTTTTAGAGATTAGAGACTCAATGAACAACATCTCAACACTAAATTATAATGGCCGGTCTCATATAGACGCGATTGACATCAGGTTCAAGTACGCCCACAAGCCGTGCGAGTTATTCGTGTATTGGAGTTTGGCTGGTGGTTATGTATGTTGCCCGCATACCGCCTCCCATGGCCGAAACTGGTATTATGACACCGGCCGGGCCGGGGCTAGTAATTTAGCATGCTAATTCAGGTTTATATCTCGGCAGCACTATAACTTGTCATTTTTTTAATGACATCATTGCATTTATTTCTTCTCATTCTTTTGATATGTGTAGCTCATTTGTTGGATATTTTTACCTCAATTTTTACATATGGCACCTTTAATGACTCGTAAATGTAAGTACACATTGATGGCCTAAGACACGAAACGAGCGGTTTGTGTGAGAAAACGAACAGTATTTATATCTTTTTTACCTCTTGTAACCACAGCCACGTCCAAGTGATCTGAGGGCGCGGGCGCTTCGGTCTGTGCAAGCGCCAGAAAGCGCCGGAAGTGAAAACTCACCACTCCCGGATGAGTTCGCGCGAGCATACGTAATTGTTTTCTTTTACGACGGTTTAAACATCCCTGATAAGCGCAAATTAGTACGATATTAATTAGCCGTCTTACCTACAATCTCTGTTCTGTGTAAACAATGAGTGACGTACACACGCGAGAGATCACTTCCGGCGCTTGCACAGACCGAAGCGCCCGCGCCCTCAGATCACTTGGACGTGGCTGTGGTTACAAGAGGTAAACGATATAAATACTGTTTGTTTTCTCACACAAACCGCTCGTTTCGTGTCTTAGGCCATCAATGTGTACTTACATTTACGAGTCATTAAATCATGTTTAATTTGGACTTCTCTGTGCATGCTCTTTGAGGTGGTGACCATAGACCTGCATTATATGACTGACAGACAAGAACGGTTTGACCTAAAAATATCAAAATTTAAACCACTGCGGAAACAAAGACACCCTTGGATGTACACTTAAGTGGCCTTTTATTAAATTAATATTATATTATCTGCAAGTAATACAATGAAGTGTACTTTCTTTTTATTACAACTAACTTGCCTATGATTAATAGCAAGTAGCTAATCATGGTTTGTTATTTTTGGTTTCACTAACACTCATACATTTGCACTTTTTCTGCTCTAAAACTGGATAAGCCCTTCAAACTTCTTTTTTTTTTTTTTTACTGGAAATATGTCTAAACAAAAGAGAAAACAGTTAAATAAACCAGTTCATGAGCTAGCAATATGCTAGTTAATATCTAGGCACTATACGAAGGTTTTTGGGATCCCTAAGTGCTGATATTATAATAGTCCTTTAGTGTACTTGATAAGTAAGAAGGAAATTACATCACACACTGTGGCTATTCTTCCTGTTAATAGTCATAATGCTCACACACCCTGTCCAGCAGACTAATGAAGGATGAGACGTGTAAACAATAGTGTCATGGACATCCGTGCCCTCGATCTGCACATTTTATCAGAAAGGCTAAAAACATCATATCGGACCACTCTCATCCTGCTCACCATCTCTTTAAACTACTCCCATCAGGAAGAAGATATAGGAGCATTAAAACTTCTACATCACGTTTTAGAGACAGCACTTTCCCTCTGGCTATCAGATATCTGAATTTGCACTGACGGCTAGCAGCACCTCATTAACTGTATGCATTGTGCACTTTCTCTGCCATAGGGTATTGTCCTTTTTAATGTCTGCAGGGTTTTGGTCCTATGTCCTATGGTTGCTGGGGATTGTTGGGTTCATTGTTGGTGTACTATGATGTCTGTTTTTTGGTTATTTATGTCTGAGAGTTGTACCAAGATAAATTCCTATCAACTTAGTTGACATGGCAATAAATTATTGATTATTGATTATTACTGGATGTTTAAATAAAAATTTAGGAAACAAACCAATGTAAAGTGTTGAGGTTGAGCGAGGTGAAGAAGGAACGAAAAGACAGAAGGAACGAGGTGAGGATGCGTATTTGCATGTGACTGTCTGGTTGTTTTACAGGGACACTGCGGGGCAGGAAAGATTTAGGACGATCACCACGGCGTATTACAGAGGCGCTATGGTAAGACACTACACTGCAATTTTTTTTTATTTCTTACTCAGTACTTTTGTCTTGATTTCCAGTACAAATATCTAAAACAGGTCAGACTGCCGAAAGTCGCTGCAGAAACAATGTTGTGTTGTTACAAATTGCCGGAAAAACAGAAAATGACAATAAAATGGAGGCATGTTTTGAAACCGGCGGAGACGACAGCATCGAATAAATCCGCACAAACAAGCCTCTGCCGTTTCTGCCGCTGCCTCATAAGACGAAGTAGTCCAGCGCGGAGGCTACAGATTTTAGTTAAACTCATGTTGTAAAGAAGGCAGCATCTGCATTGCAAAACCCTCCATGTTGCGGTTGTTGTTGTTTTTGGCGTATGCCTACTAACGCAAGTCATTGCCATAGAAACCAATGCATATATCCCGGAAAACGAAAGAGCAGCATGGACACACAAATTCGCTTAGCATTCACACTGTCATTTTTAACACCGAACCCAAGTGAAGTTCTTAAAAGTCCCACTGGGGGGTATATCTAAGCTCAAGTTAAGGCCGCTTTCTCGAGGCCCTCCTCTGCGAACAGCAAGCCAAATCCGTTTAACCTTAAAGGGTTAGTTCGCCCTTTTAAGACATGAAGTTGTATGCAATCCTTACCAGCACTATAGTGCATACACACTGACCCACTCTGTTGTCACCTCCCTGGTCAGAGTTCTGGCCGCTGGAAGTTTTTCAATAAAGTACTCCCGGTTATTTTCCGGGGCCACAAAACTGTGCGTTTTTACGTGAAAAAATGATTTGCGTTTCAAAGCTTGATTAATTTACCACACAAAAAACACGCCGGTCAAAATTCATACCTCAGTTTTAATCGGCACTATTTTCTATCCATTTCTATCAATCCGCGCTGCTGTCAACGTCAACAGTGCGCGCGCATAAGTTTTGATTGCTGAAGATGGATGTTTCATATTTCTGCTGGCTTTGTTTTCAGGGCATTATGTTGGTATATGACATCACCAGCGAAAAGTCATTTGAGAACATTAAAAACTGGATCCGCAACATCGAAGAGGTTACTGACATTACATATGTTCAATTGATAAAGTAAAATGACACTGCCTGTCTAATTAATTGGAGGGCATTGTATAATAGGCTTGTTACCCATGCTGTAAATTCATATCAAATATAATTTTTCAAGTATTTGATACATTTGTTGGAGAATTACATTTCTTTTGACTGCTGAACTTCTCAATCACTCATTTCAGCATGCATCATCTGACGTAGAGAAGATGATCCTCGGAAACAAATGTGACATGAACGACAGGAGACAGGTGTCCAAAGAGAGAGGAGAGAAAGTGAGATCTTTCAAGTCTTATACGCTTTTACAGTATTTCACACAAATAGATGGATAAAAGAAATCATTTAAAATTAATAAAACATATATATTCATTCATTATTGTAATACTACCTATTTATAGGTGTATTATTTGGAATGAGCTAGTTTGTGTGATACTGGATATTTGTTAGTAACTGTTGTAATTTTTGCCCCTTTTTTTCCAGTTGGCAATTGATTACGGGATCAAGTTTTTGGAAACGAGTGCAAAAACCAGTGTAAATGTCGAAGAGGCCTTTTTCACCCTTGGCAGAGACATTATGGCTCGACTCAACAGAAAAATGGTGTGTTTTTTGTAAATCTTCTAAAACAAAGACAAAACACAAATGCATTATACTGTATATCATTCATTTATGATTAATTGTCTTATAGTTATTCAAAAAATATTTCAAATAATTGTAAACATCAATCATTGTTACTATGAATCGTTTTAAAACAATCACTACTGTGGGTAAAAAAAAACGGTAACACTTTACAATAAGGTCTCAGTTGTTAACATTAGTTAATGCATTAGCTAACATGAACTGACAATATATTTTTAAAGCATTCATTCATCTTTGTTAATGTTAGTACTAGTACACAACTTGTTTGTTAATGTTAAACAATGTCACAGTGCATTAACAAATGTTAACATACACACATTTAGATTTTAAATAATGCATTACTAAATGTAGAAATGAACATGAACTAAGATTAATAAATGCTGTAGAAGTATTGTTTATTGTTCATGTTAATTAATGTAGTTAACTAATGTTACAAATTAAAAAGCTTATTGTAAAGTGTTACCAAAAACAGACCTTCTATTTTTTAACTGCATTTAATTTTCTATCGGTTCAGCAATAAAAAATACTACATATCATTTATCTTCAATTTTTTTAAATTTAAATCTGTGGTCCACCTGTGGTGAAAATCAAGTTTTTAATGTTGTGTATATACATATGTGGTGTTTTTAATATGGTTTAAGACAAACTATGATCAAATTCATAAGTCAGCACCATCGCCAAGTATTTCTCCTTAAAATTGCAGTGAACCAAACAGTCTCAAAAACGCGGTTTGAAATCGCTGGTGCTTCTGACATCACAAACTACCTTGTAACCAATCAGGTCAATGAGTGATTGTCAAGGAGTGAATCTCTTAACTGGTGTGAGTGAGTGGAGGCGGGGCTAATTTGCATATTCATAGAACCACATATACTAAATGACACAAGGGTGTCGAGTTACATTCAAGCTATTTTAAGCCATGAAGATTTTTTTCTAGGAAAAAAACGCTTAAATATGTAATTTTGGTGATCAAAGATGAGTTTTAAGGGACAAAATTATTGACTACAGAGGGACTTTAAATCATTTTAAACATGTATAACTGTTACAATGAATCAAACCACATCATGGGGTAAAAAAAACAGGCCCATTATTTTATTACTGCATCTAGTTTGATATCAGTTCACCAATTAAGTACAAAAAGTCTCAGGATTACTTGTTTTAACTATATAAATCTTTTTACAACCCTGATATTATTAACCTAATTTCTTTTTTTATAGGTTTTACAAAGCAAAATTAAAATGTGTCTGTCTTTCTATTGCCTAGAATGATGGTGGTCAAGCAGATGGTGGGGGGCCGGTGAAGATTTCAGAGAAGCGCACCAAAAAGCACAGCATCTTTAAGTGTGCTCTGCTGTAACTCATTTGCAGCGCGTGGATACGTTCACTTGCTGTGTCTCTGCGGCAGCTCAGCTGGTATAACATATCACATGAGCCCCTGCAAAAGAGCTGGACCATCAGGCTCCAGAAGGTTCGTGTTTCCAAGCCCTTAAATTCAAGATGGAACAGAGGAATGATGCCGTTTTGAGAGATTTACATGGTTCACTCTGTGCTAGAGTCACAATAGGAAACGTCTCCTTTGTTGTGTGGTGATAATCGTGATGATTGTGTCAAAAGATAATGGATCAAATATAAATGGTTTGGCTTTGATATGTTTTTGTAAAATATTCTATATAGACACAGCACTGGCTGGCTTAAAACATTTCCTGCTGAGGGCTTAAATGTATCGCGTACAATATTTATGAAGTAGTGAGCGAGTCTGTTTTGTTGTAATATGTTCCTGAGTGTCTTTTATACTGCATATACACTGTTCTTGCACTGGTTCAAAAAATGTAATAGAGAAGATCTGTACAAATGCAATTTTTGGAACACTAGTGGGTTAAAAGCACTTTACATGTGTTTTCAATGAGCTCTTCTTACAGGCACATGTCCATGTATAGCACAGACGGACATCAATCCACCCGCTGGAAGGTTGCAAAGATAGAACATGATGGCTGCAGAGCATGATGGGTAAAGGAATAGGGTATCAAAGGGAACAGGTCTTACTTGGCAAAATCACAATCACCCATTGGAAGTGAGTGTCTGACACAGCCCGCCAAACCTGGGAACCATCAGTATTAAGGGAATAAGAAAAATTGTGCCTGTGTTGTAGATCCGTAGCTTTAGGGTTATAAGCATTGGGTTTATGTTCAAATTCAGCCCAGCACTGATTTGTGAAAATTCTGTGACATTTTTTTGAAAATTAAGATGATCATTAACTATTTAATTAGCATTTAAAATTAATGCTAGGGTCCTTGTGTCAATTCTACAGTATAATGTTTTGTAACATGATAGAAAAAGAAAAGTCACTGATGCATGTTTATGTAATCCATTAACGGAAACTGAGCTTTTTTGTATTTCAATTTGATATTTCTCACATTTGTAGCTCTTTTTCATTTTTTGATTGAAAATGTCCAGTGCATGATATATTAATACTGTGCAAACTTTTATTTCTGGTTTACATTTTTTTTTTCACCATAGGCTCTTAAAAGAAACATAGAGTTGCCAAAAAGTGGTATTATGTGATTTTCATGCTTGACTGTCAATGTGTGTAAGTTGTTTTAGTCAAAGGATCCAGGGTGAATTCAACTGGTTAAATCAGCACTTATGTTTCAAATGTGTGAGACATTTTGGTCTCCTATTGAAACTGCACTAAAGGCTGTGTCAGAAGAAGTAGTACAGATTACAGCAATAAAATGTCCCTATTTGGGAATTACTTCCGACTACTTGTGCTGATATTAGGGACCTTAAAGCCTTGGATCTGTCTCCATTAATCTGAGTTGGACAGATACTGCCGTAGTATTTTGAAAGAATGTTTTGATGATTCTCATTTTACTTTGACAAATGTAGCATATATCATGACCACTGATATTCAGATGGGACCATTGTTATGCATGTATTTTCTTTCATATTTGTGACTGTATGACCGATCTTTTTAAAGAGACATTATAACGCAACTAGTTACCTGAAAAGCTAATATGCTCGTTTAAACATGTTAAAACCTTAACAAAGAAAATGTGAACAAGAATTTGAAGTGTGGTTTTATTAATTGTAGATTTTTATACTACATATAACCAAAGTAAATACTGTATAAACATATCTTTATACTTTTCAGCTTATTTTTTTCCACCTCTGTACTTTCATCTTCTTTTTGTCAGCAATACATCATACAGAACAGTAGATGGTGCTATTAGACAGTCTTATCATAAAATAAACAGAATGCACATCACATACAACCTGCTAACTTCAAACATTTTGCATTGAGGTAGACTCATTTTGTCTTTTGACTAGTTCAGTTTGCATAGCCTTACACTAATTGTCATTATACTGTATAATACTGTATACTGTTTACCAATCCACATAACACATAAATGGCATGATGAGTACCAGAACAGTGAGCAAGGTTACATACTGTAATATAATGTATTTTGTACCTTAAATATATATAATGATGAAAATACTTTTAGTGCTAGCACACAATTAATGAACAGTTGATGATATGGTTTCAGAGTTTGCTACTCATTTAACTTGAGTACATACTGCTAATCTAGTGTTACAGGTGCATAAAAGGAATTGAATGTGTGCATCGTTCTTATCTGAGGTATGTATCTTCTTATTGGACTCCTTTAAGAGTGTCCCCTTTGTGTATGGCTACGGCTCGTTTGAAGGTACATCATCTGTTGTCTTCTGTGCGGGTTTCCCTGGATCATCAGGAGAGTCTCCACAGGCTCCAGCAAGGTCTCTTTCACTGCTTGATTCATGGGCTCTTTTCAAACTGTTTCCTAAGGACTTGCAAGGTTTTGTGGACCAGCTCTTGGATCTTCCAGGGAGGAACATTGTGTCCTCTGGCAGAGGCAGGTGGCTACCATCAACTTGGACTTCAGAATCACTGGAAACGGCACCTGTAGTTATCTCCTCTGTTTGCCCTCCATCTTGCTTCTCTAAACTTTTGTCCTTTCCCAGACTTACTGCAGGATCATCTGGATCCTTTGCTATCTTCTGCTGAGTATCTTTCAGGCGTTTGTCCACTTCGTCACTTCTTTCTTCCTGGTTTACCTGATCTACATCCAGCAATGGCTCTATACCAGTCGCCCCTGTTGAGTGTAGCTCTCCACCCTTTGTCATCCCATCTTCTATTATCAGCTGAACTCGTTCATGATTGATTGGTCCATCCGAACTGTCCAGTGTCTTCTCTCCTTCTTGCATTCCCATGTCCTCTTTACTGTCTATAGTAGAAACTCTCAGCCTCTGTTGCTCAGACTGGTCAGAATGTTGATCTACCTTGAAACTGTTGCTGAACTTGTCAATCTGGTCTACCAAGGGTCTTACCATTGATACCTTTGGCATCTGACCAAAAAGACTAGGGTGTACCTTATACTCATAACCAGCACTCCAACGTCTTGTAGCTGGAGACGCATCCATTCCTTCCCCTTCTTGATTTGCTTCCCTTTCACTTGCTTGATCAAATGAGATCGTGCTCCTATACTTTCGCACAGTGGACGGGGATGTGCTTTGTATTTCTGTGGGATAGTATCTGAAAGCTTTCACCTTTTCTAGAGGGTAGGAGGTAGTCGCCTGAAGTTTCACTCTCTCAGTCATCAAGACTTCTTTCTGTGTGGCACTATCCAAAGAAGTCTGCTTGTCAGGAACTGAAGATTTAGGTGATTCTGGCTTTGTCCCATCAACCTCAACACCCTTCTCACAAGGGAAGATTCGGATGTCCACACATGAGCCAAGGCGTCTTCTTGTCCCTGGAATATCTACCTCTAGATTCTGGCCATATTCCTTTGTGTTGAGGTTTGTAGTGCTTATTGTTTTACTCTGATCTGCCTCTTTTTCCTCGGGTGGACGTTCATCAACACCCAGGTAATAGCGGTAGAGGCTGTACCCATCAGCACTGTTGATGCTGCTGTGACGTTGAAGAGAAGAGGGGTCACAAATAGAGGAGGCTGTTGAGCGTGTCCGGGTCAATTCAGAGTGGTCGATTCCCACCAGTCTTTCCAAGGCATTCACCATTCGGCCATTAATGTCTTCCAGCTGGGCCAAACGAAGGTCCACTGTCTGAAGGGAGGCCTTCATTGTGTTCTCCCTCTCATTCACCTCCTCAAGGCGCATGGACATGTTCTCCACCCTGTGCAGGAACAAGAAGAGTATGTTAATGTGATGATCACATAATGAAAAACATTAGTGTATTTCAATTACCTTTCATTTGTAACCCTGATACGCTCATCATTTGAAGACAGTTGCTCGTCTTCTCTCTCCCTGAAATATTCCTCCACACATTGCTCCTCAAACTCATACAGCATCTTCAGCTCTTCCGGGGTAAGAATAAGCTCTTTATGAAGAAACCAGAGAATACAAACAAATAGCTTGACCACCTGCATCTTGATCCTTTATACTTTGGTCTAATTATTTTATGAAACTCACTTAATCCTTTATCCTTCTCATCCAGTTCTCCCTCCTTTCTCTTGTTACAGCGACAGCAGAGTTTGCGGAATAGGATGTAGAGGTGGCTAAATATAATGAGAGGTGGAGGTAGCACAGGCCTGTCATGGAAGGTCATGATGAGCTGATATCTCTGAAATTTCCACACCTGGTTGGAGATGGACTTAACCTCAAAGAACGTGTTGCTTTATTGGGAGGAAACACATTGCAACTATCAAATCAAAACCATTGAACTGTTACTAAAGATACACCAATGAAGACATTTTGGTAAAGACCAATAGCCTCAACTTATTCTTTATGTTGCAGCCGATCCTACACTGTTTGTTTTTACATGCAAATAAGTAATCAAAACATTGTAATGGTAGCATTCTTACTTGAAGACAGCAATGAGCAAGTTCACAAGCAGGATGTTGGCCACTAACAAATAACAGGCCATGATGGCTGGAGTCAGCCATGCTCCAGGGATGCAGGGTGGAAGCTTTTTCCCATCCTCATCATATAAATTATCTCCACAGGGGGCTGTTTAGAAAAAGCTTTCTTGTTACATTATAGTACCAGCGATGAATTTGTTTTGCATTCACAACAATTCCAATGTCATTATACCATTAGTGGTGTTATTTTTCATGAAAACAGTGTTTGTCATTGTGTCAAATGTTCATCGGTGTGCTTACGATTTATTTCCATTGCGTATACTTCAGGCCATTCCAGAAGGGCAAAATAGAGACGAACAAGTCAGTTAGTGCAATTGGAAACCAATGCGTGCAACAAGAATTAATCAAACACAATATCAATCAAGAGACAGGCAGGATAATCAACTAGAAAACTGCTGCAGTGTGTACAGCCTGAAATACTGAAATAACAACAATTTGACTAACACATTTTTCTGTCTCCAAGTTTGAAATAACTCTAAACGTTCATAACTCAACAAGAAAGCCACTAAGCATGTTATGGGGTAAACTGCAACAAACAACAGGATCACAGAGGTAATGAAGATATTAGTGAGGTGTTAGAATGGTGGATCAGACTGTTATCTATCTACCCTGGAGGCAGGAAACAAAATCTTACTATAAATTCTAGTCTTACGGTCTATCGAATCTGCAAACACCTCTCCATAAATCATCCAATAAGGCATGTAGAAGATGTTGCGGGCCAAGCGCCATGTGGGCTCCTCATCTGGGTGGAGGATGGCCTGTCGTGCCACACCGAAACTCATCAGGACCACCAACATGATCACCACAAAATACAGCATGTCAATCATCTGCAAGTAAAAAAGTCTGTATAGTTGGTAATCAAGTGTACAAGGTCTAAAAGTATAATAACTTTAGTACAATGAATTACGTTACCATTTTCCCTATCATCATGACATAGGGTCCTAGGTACTTGTTGACCCCGAATATGTCCAGCACGCGGATATACCAGAAGATAATGTCCACGCAGTAAATCACACGACCGTAGCCCATGTAGGGTTCATTTTGTAGCCTAAGTAATACCCCGAACAAGAAAGTGGCGATGGCCACCATATCTGTGATGTTCCAGTACTCCTCCAACCACACGTTTATCTTTTGTTTGAGCTTGCCTGGTTCAGACATCAAGATCTGGAAGAGAGAGTACCAGAAATAGGCTACAAACTGATTCTTTACAATTGGGTCTTAGTTGATTTAACTTGATTGCATCGATTTCTAGAGCTGGTGATTTAAGGAGAGATATTTACATCTTTACCTGTCTGACTTTCTCTAGCCCTAAAGTGATGATGTATGAAATGACGATCCACTCTTGTAAACATGGCCAACGCTCCATCTTCACCAGTACTATGTAATTGTACAGCATGAGATAGCCAAGGTAGGAAATCTGCACAATGCAAGGCAATTTTGTTTTTCAGAAGAAAAAAAACTTTATTTATTTTATTTTATTAATAATATAACAAAAATATACAGCATTTATTTTATTTTATTGCATTAAATAAAACCATAATATAATTTATTATGTATTTAAAAATATATACTCTGTTCTGGCATCCTTGCGACCTTAGGACAAGCAGTTTGGAAAATGGATGAATGAATATTCTACTCACAGTATTGAACCAAAATTTGGTGAAAGGGGCATTGTAGAACTCAAAGATTTTTCTCCCAATTGGAATCTGCCTCATTTTCTTATCGCCTTCCTCCTCATCTCCTTTCTTAGAGGCTGCATCGGCATTGGCATCCTAGATATACATGAGGAATTTTCACAATATGTAGGATTCATAGAAACAGCAGTTGCTAAAATCTAAAACACTAAATCATCCAGGATTTGTTTTAACCAGACCAAACATAAGATTAAGAAGCCGTTTGATGCAGCATTAACCTCTCATCTAGAGTTCCCTGACTATCCCCCTCCCCCTCCCTCCCTAGATTAACCGTAATTACTCAGTTTGTAATAGATTGTAAAAGTATCTGCACACTATATGCTTTCTATAACTAATTAAATTCCTTCCACTTTCTATCTACATCATGTGTGGATGTGTCACGCAATACCTGTGTGTTTACTGATGGGTTAAGCTCATATTATGTCAAGTCAAGTGCTTTCAGTTATGTACACTACACTGATCTAATAGAGGAGGGGTTTGTTTGAATAGAAGGAGTGGTGCAGTTTACCCGGCTGGTCTTATCATGATC